TTTTTTTTCTGGGTATAAGTGTTTCTTTCTCTTCTTTTTTTGGTCTTCTTTCTTTTTTTTTCTCTTTTTTCAGTTTTTTTTTTTTAAACCCAGGCCAAAGTTTGTTTTTAATAATTGCTAGAGTTTCTTTTTTTTTTTTTTTAACAAGTACCATAACTTTTTCTTTAACACAAAATGGAGTATATCGAAGATGTGGATGGTGATACAATTTCGAATGATTCTTTGTTAATTAGTAAAACAGAGTCTGTACAAACAAATATAATACCATTATCAAATAATGAGAGTCGACCTCTAACAAATATATAGGATGAATATGATATAATTATTCACAGAAAAGAAAAACACAAAAGTGCAAAATGCAAGTATTGTCCTGCATTATGGACTCGAGGAAGGGCCCAGGATATGAGAACTCACCTCACAATGAAGTGTAAAGGTAGAGTGCCAAGAGAAATTTGATTTAAAGTACTAAGTGATCTTCAAAATAAGGACAACCCAATATCGTCTGAATCTCAATCAGTAACCTTAAAAAAAAGAAAACAAAACTCTATATTGTATATAGATGCATATTTTGATACAAAAGAAGCAATTGATAAAGATAAAGAAACAAGGGTCAATAAATCTCTAATTAAATGGATTGTGTGTTCGGGTATTTTATTTTCAGCCTTTGATTCCCCCTATTTTGAAGATTTTACCAAGATGTTGAATCCAGGATATAATTCACCTAAGCGCACTATATTAGCAATATCAATATTAGATGTAGAAGCGGCAAATATCTTGCTGAAGGTAGAAAAAAAACTTTCTAAGGCTAAAAATATTACTTTATGTATAGATGGTTGGAGTAGCCCATTAAAGCAAAGTATATAAACTTTTGTTATAATTACAAATAAAAGAAAACAATATATATATTCATTACAAAATTTTTCAAAGTTTTCTCACATTACAAGTTTTAATTCTGAGAAAATGATAGAAGTATTGAAAAATGTTGGGCCTGAAAAATTTATAGCAATAATTTCAGACGCAGAATCATCAATAGTAGCAGCTAAATGTCAAGTTACGACAAAATATCCGCATATCTTGTCAATAAGATGCATTGCACATCACATTCAATTAATATCTAGCAGTATTTGTAATTTATCCTATGCGAAAAAAGTTCTTTCTAACTGCCAAACAATAGTAAGTTTTTTTAGAAACTCTTATTTTGCGAGTACTACCCTTAGAGAGGAAATTATATTTTTCTCTACTACTAGTAGAAATTTAAAGTCAACAACTAAGATACGGTGGTCAACTATGTGGGATTCTTGTGAATCTATATTATGTAATGAAGCAAATATTAAATCGGTAAGTTTACAATTATTTCAAGATATATTTTTTTGTTTTTTTTTTCATATCATATTTTATCTAATTGGTTTGTTTCTAATAGGTTTTAGAAAAAGAACCTCAGATTTTTAATTATTCAAATGCTGTAAAAAACTTAATTAATGATTATCAATTTTGGATTGACGTTAAACAATTATGAAGTATTCTTGGTCCAGTAAAATATGCTGTAAAAAGCTTAGAGTTTCGAACTATCTTGTTTGTGGATGTATTTGTTTAACTAGTTAAAATAGCAATTGCAATTCAAGAAATTTCAGTCTTATATAATAACCAATTTCAGTGTGATTGTATTACTATTTATAACAAGCAATAGAAAGAATTTGATACAGGATTATATCTTCTAGCTTTTTTTACATCCAGCTTATCATAGTATTTATAAGCCTAATATGCATATAGCATGCTACTTTTACTTTATTGATTATTATTTTTTTAAATAGGTGATTTTCTTGAGCCTGGTATATATAAAAATTATATTTTTAAAAAGTGCTAGAAATATGGAAACAATTGGGTGGTGGTCGAACAAGTGCTGACCTTTTGAAAACTCAGATGAGCTTGTACAAAAACCAAGAGCCTCCTTTTAATGATAGATTTATTTCATCCATTAATATCATTACTAATTGGTGGACTTTAGTTGATCTTACAAAGAATGAAGACCATATTAAAACCCTTGCCTTGCAAATACATTCTATTCCCCCTATAACACTGCTTGTGAGCGAGTCTTTAGTATACTAGACTTGTATTTCGGAAAA